TGTAGTTCAGACAGTATAGGTTAGTTACATTACTAAAAACAAACTTTAAACTGCAGGGAAAAGGAAATGGAAAAATGGTTTTTTTAAATGCTGTAATAAGAATCAATTGTTACATTTCTTATAGCATTTTTAAAGCAACAGTTTATAATTGCCTTTTTTCAAGCTGTATTTGAAATGTACTTGTAACAATAGAATGAAGGTGGTAATAGATAAAATTGTTCAGTAGTGACCACAGCACATTATATACCAAGTAGCTCTGATGGAGAAAAAGAATAGTAGGCAGAACATGCAATTTAATATCTTAGTCTCTCAGTCTAAAAAGTCAGACATTGGGAAACTTTTGATTTCCAAGCACCACTTGTGTGCCATACTTTATCTGAGTTCTCTTTATTGACCTTCCTGAAAGTTTCCATTGTGAATTGTGACTCAAATACTGTATGTATAATTATTGTTATTAGATATTATCTTGATATGTACACATATGTACACATGTATATATCCATATGTATATATGTGTATTTATAATACCAAATGTAGATTTAAAAGAAGTCATTTTTAATTGAATATGAAGATAATATGTTGTTATTCTTTCCAGTAGTGGTGATAGATTTCAGCTGAGTCATATGCTTTTTCACCTGGTCCCACTTGTGACTGAGTGTACATATTTTCAGGATTGGCTAGAGTTACAGATAGAGTCTGTAATCATCACATGGAGAAGATAACTGGCCAATCTGGTAAAAAGCCCTGGAGTTTAGGCCAAGATGTTATAGTGGTCCTCTAACTAAGTTAAGTATTATTTCCCCAAAATTTATTTCACTAAATGTTGCAAGATTTTGATTAGTAAATTGCAGATTAATAGAGAAAATGGATCCTAGAGATTCTCTTGTAAGGTTGCTATTAGGTCAATGGAATTGGGAACAATTTTCTTTAATGTCCCTACATCACTGTTCTGTTTCCCAACACCCCCCCCCCAAAAGAGCAATTTTTGTACTTGTTGCTAATATCAAACTAGTTTGGGAACTTTATTGCAGTTATAAAGTCATTGATAATAGTGTTTACCTTAACTAAAGGGCAGTTAAGCTTCACTATTGTGTCAAATAGCATTTAGATTGTACCCATTCTGTAATATGGCATTGCTGCTTTTTAGGAATGGGTGATAGTTTTCTATAAACTTCATAGTTGATTACCTAATTTTCCTGTTAACTACATTGCATGTGATTTGGTATATGTAAAGGAAATTGTATCTCTGTTAAGTTGAATGTCTTTTATTACTGTGCTCTGTGTGCGTATACATATGTATAAACCTATATTAGTACATATCAGTATATTTCATTCTTCAGTTGTGACTTGACTGAAGTCAGTGGAATATTGAATATATATATATGTATGTGTATATATATATGTATGTGTGTGTGTGTGTGTGTGTGTGTGTGTGTGTGTATATATATATATATATATCCCCTCTTATTCTCATCCCTAACATTCACTTCTCTTCCCTATCATAAGATTATAGATTTAGAGCTGGAAGATTCCTCAGATGTCACCTTGTCCAACCCCTACATTTTATAGATGAGGAAAGTGAGGCACAGAGAAGTTAAGTAACTTTCCCAAGGTGACACAGATAATGTGTCAGAAGTGAGATTTGAACTCTAGGGCTAGTGCTCTTTCCATTGCATCATGATCCCAGAGGAAATTTTCTTTGTAGAAATTTATAGAATTTATAGAATTCATATGGGTTTAATAAAATATCCACCCATGTTCCATTTCTTCCTCCCTCCGTTTGCTTATGACAAAGTATTTGGGCACCACCCTTATGTGTTCTGGAAGTGACTATATATTCCCTATTTCATTTGACAAAAAAACAAAAACAAAAACAAAAAACAAAAACCCTCCTTTAAATTTACCATGAAGTAAGGGTTGTGATTACTTCAGGTAACCTAGCACATATCTACTTCCTGTCTCTCCATATCTAGTGTGGGAAAACGAATAAGGTTGGCTTACAGAAAGGTTGCTATGCTGAATGTGGAAAACAAGCAAATAAAAAATAAAACAGCACATGGAAGAGAAGGAAAAGTTTGTCTCTTTAGACAGGAGTTGAATAGTAAGATGATGTGATATGTGTATAAGAAAGACAGATGAGAGAAGTCCTCCTGATGTCTACCCTGTGGGTAATTCTTTTGGACAGAAAAGGAAAGCAAACTGGTCATTGCTTTTATTTCAAGATGAAAAGGATGGAAAAGGAGGAAAGAAATAAAAATTCATTGAAAGCAACCACTGTAGCAGGTAGTTATTTCCTCAAGGAGACTAGTGAATGTTAGACTTTTCCTTCTATACCTTGATGGCTAAGGTGTGCCAGGAGACATTTGTGAGGAGGCATACAAAGAGAAAGAAGACTCCTGAATAGAGTTGTAACTGCAGGAAATGTGCAGGTCATTCCATTTGCCAGAAATATGTGGAATAAAGAACCTTGGGTGCAGGAAGGCATTTCATCATTCATGTGATCAGTACCTGACATCTGTTCTTTGAACTATAAATGTAATGCTAGTGTTATCTTTGAACTTGAACTGTACGTACCACAAGTTATCGATCAGTTGTTAATATGGAACATTTTGTACCAAGCCCATGTTTTCATTGCACAGCCTTTTACTTAATAGACAATATTAGCTGGGGTAGGATGGAGATGGGGGGTGGTAAGCAAAGAGAGAGATAAAGAGAGTGTAAATTTTTTTTATCTTTTATTTCTCTCAAAGAAGAATGCAACCCATCAAGTAGCTGAACCTTTACAAATATGTTGTGCTGTACATGTTTCCCCTTTTAAAAGGCTGGCGCAAATACAAACAGATTTTCTCAAAGGATTCTTTTTTCTGTTTTCTTGTATAACATATGATTGCTGTTAATTATTTATATGAGCCATAAGGTGGTGTTCACTTACAGGATTTACAAGGTTCCTGATAAATAGACATTTAAAAGACCTATATAAAACCCAACTACCTCCAGATAGAAACAATTAAACATTTGATACTGCTTTGAGCTTGGCATATCTTGCTGCATTGCCTATAAAATCAGCTTTCTCATGTGGTAAATCAATTCACAGGAGTTTAAAATGAGTTTAACTTAGAATTTGTATGGGACAGTGTAAAAGACAAGTGGATGCACCTAACACTGCCTCCCGTGAATGATGCAGAAACAGGCAAAAGAGTCCAACATAATTTAGTAAATGAGAGTTATCTACACACACACACACACACAGTGGGTATGGTCTAATAAGTTGCACCCTTGTAGTAAAGGGCCACAGGAAGGACACCATTTCCTGGATCAAACCACAGAGTGCAAATATTCTCCCCCAAATAGCACACCAGTTACTGTAAATGTCAGTAGAGGCAGTTTTTCTGACTTTGATTTAATGAATGCCTACAGCAAGGCCAGCTGTTAGCACCTTTTAACTGCTTGTCAGAATGTGTGTGTGTGTGTGTGTGTGTGTATAGGGAGGGAGGAAGAAGAAACTTTTCTGTGCACTTTTTTGGCCTTTCCATTAAAAACAAAAGGCATTTTTGCACATTCAGTTAGTCCTCAGCAAGTGCCAAGGAAGAGGAGCAAGGCTACTTTAGCACGCTTTTCCTTTTTTTCTTTCTGTGTGTTGAATTTTTAAGTAGAGTGTAATTTATACTAACTACACTAAGCAATAAAAGAATGCTTTAAATTAGTTTTGACTAATCCTCTTGTACACTCTCACCTTTCAGAGTCTATAGATGTACATGAATCATTTTAGTTCTCTGTCCTCCCCAGGAGAATAATAGAGAAAAAAATGAGAGAAAAAAAACTTATCAAATTCTCTTTTTATGTAGCTGAGATGTCAAATCTAATTGTAAATCTGTGTACTTCCTAGATGTCATCTCTCCCACTCTCTCTCTCTCTCTCTCTCTCTTTTTTTTTTAAACAAAGGGCCCACTCTTAGAAAACTTACAGGAAAAGAGAATAACAATGTTCATTTAAGTCATCTAAGATGGAGAAGAAAACATATGCAGTTATTAAGAGGTCTTAGAGGTTTCTATAATACCCTTTGATGCTCACACTTTGTGAGCACACTTTGTATATTAGGAGAAGAATAATCTTTGAAACATGGGGGAAGTTTAAGTCCATATAATCCTACTGATTTTCACCAAATGATTTATGACATAAAATGTTTCATTAAAGATTTAAAAAATATATTTTTTTTTGTAGTGAGTTTTTTAAAAGTACCATTGTTTTTATAATAGGAAGATGTAGTAAGTTATGCTGTTAGCTTATTTAGCTAAAACATGGAGCCAAATTCATAGTAATGACTCCAAGTGAATTACCTACAAACCATAGACAGATAAGCTTTCAGTGAGTGTGATGCTCTGCATTTCTTCAAAGAAATAGGTCATGTTAAATTCTCCACTATCACTATCTGCAGTTAATTTTTACTTGCATTTTGGGCCTTGGGGTGGGCTCTGCTTTTTGTAGTAAGGAAAAAGCATGTTTTTTTGAAAGCATGACATATAAAACTCTCTGTTTTCTGTAGAGAGAATTGTTAAAAGATTTGGTCAAGAAATTGTGTCTCTGGGAAAAAAAATCAAAGATGTAATTTTGTAGATTATTCAGATGCTTATGTAGCTTCTTCCTTATTCTTTTGAGATGATAGGAATGAGTAAAATTAGAAGTGTGAGATAAAGTTTCTTTTCTAGACATTTTAAAAGAGGAAAAGGTCCATCTGACTATTCTCCTCAAATGATAATCTCATTGACTATAAGCTTCTTCAGTTCAGAGAACATGTCCACTTTCCATCTTTGTAGGCCCTTAATAAATGTTTGTTGAATGAATGGCTATCTTTAGATCTGAAACTTTTATTTTAAAGGAAGAAGTAGAATATTATTCAGAAGACAGGTTGAAATGAACTATTTCATATTTGGAAATGAAGAATAATTAGAGGTTTTATTTCCCATTTTCTCTTCTTTCTTTCCTTATTTTTACTTTTACAGCCTCAGCAATCCCAGATAATGGAAGGAGGTCCTGTCTAAAGCTCAAAGTCTTTGTTCGACCAGCAAGTAAGTTCAAGAGAATGATCTTTCAAGGGTGGCTTTCCTAGTGCATGCTTCACTGTGTGGTCTGGTTAGCTATGGTAAAACTTTTTTTTACTGTTAAACCCTCTCTGGTATCTGTTCTGTATATCAGCATTCATGTTTCAGTTTTCATCATATTTTTTCTTATCATTCTTCATAAAGCTTTTTATTAAATACATAGCATTTGCTAACTTGTTGTTTCTTAGACTGTGATACATGTACAGCAAACAGAAGACAGTATTGGCACTTGAATAATAAATGCCAGAGAATTAAAAATAACCTATATTTAAATGAACAGAAAAAAGAGAAAGAGAGAAAAAAAGAAGGAAAATGGGGCGTTTAAGGGTGTCTCACTAACATATTTGGCTGTTATCTTTATTTTCGTTATAGACAGCTGTATGAAAACTATAGGTGTTCATGATCGTGTTTTCGATGTTAACGACAAAGTAGAAAATTCATTAGAACCAGCAGGTTAGTATGCTTAGAGAATCTCTTTTAACCAATGCGTCTCTCTCTCTGGTGCTTCAGTACTTTTTTCCTTTCTTCCTCTTTGCATGTTTGCATGGGTATAGTTGCTCTGCTTTTGCTCATTTCTAGCAGTGCTAATATGACTTATGATCTAGCTCATTTTTTTTTAGGATTCCTGGGTAGTGCATGGTAGATAAAAAGTGGCACTTTTTGGATACATGGGATTGATCAAATGCCGCACCCTAACATAGAATCCTCTGTAGAATATTCAGATCACTGCCTTTTCTCACATCTTCCCCGCATGCCAATGAACCGTTGTGTCTGTTAAGTAGATCTGTTTTCCTGCTGTTAGACTACTGTATACATTTGTTAAATTTTATTTTACATGATGTTAGCATCTATGGAAAAAAGTAATGAGATCATTAACTAAGAATAATAATGCCCAACAAAACATGTAGCTGATTCAAAATTTATCACTCCATATGCAGTTGATAAAGGCAAATGATGAGCTTTAACTGACATTAAAATTTTAAATATCATTTTATAGCATAGTTAGTTGTGTTACTTTCTGGCTCCAAATTACATAAAATAGCCTAAATTCATGATGTCATGATCATCATCGTCATCATCATCATCATCATTATCATTCTCTCACATTTGTATAGCCCTTTAAAGGTTTAAAAGGCACATTCCTCACAATAATCCTGTGAGGTAAGAGGTACAAGAATCTGTATTATACAGATGAATAAACTAAAATTCACAGAGATTAAATGATTTGTTCCAAGTCATATTGCATCAAAACTGGGTTTTGGATTCAGTTTGGGTTGCTCTAAATCCAACAATCTTTCCATTTTTCAAGACCAAGATTCAAGTTTTGGATAGGTAGCATGGTGAAGGAATAGAATGTTGGGCTTGGAGTTAGGCAGACCCAGACTCAAAGCATATAGTTTACAGTTAGTATCTATATAACCATAGACAGTCTAAGCCTGGGCCTCAGGATTTGCCATCTGTGAATCAGAAAGAAGACACACTACCTTAAAGGGTTGTGTTGAATCTCAAAATAGATTTTATTATATACATATATGTGTGGATATATTATATATATGTACATATATTACACATATGTAAACATATACATACATATGTCATTTTCTACATTTTAAAGTGTTCTGAAAAATAAAGCTTTCTGTTATTATTTTGTGAATAAATAAAATATTTATTCCACCTATTCTTCTGCTCTCCTATTTGTTTCCCCTGCCCCTTATAAATATAGTACCCAACAGCAGTCAAATATGACCCTGAATCATGTAACTTCCACTGGGAAAGGAGGCATGTCATGAATATGCTACTGTGCTCAGTCCCACCACAAATTAATGTCCTTTCCAATAGGAAGAAAAACTAAAGCCAGAAATTACTCATGGGACCCCTTCCCTGTTGTTTTGAATACTTTTCACCTTTCCTACCCACCCCAGATTCTATCATCAGTGCATCACTCCGCCCTACTCTTTTGGGAAGATTGCAGAGTTTCAAAACCATAACATAGGAGCTCCTGATTCAAGCAGAAAATTTCTAACTACTTGTAATTGGAACTTTTATTTCAAGAAATACAGGTGTTAAAGAGGATTTCAAGTCCACTTTTAAGGCTGACAGGGATTGTAGGGAAAGTTAAACTGAATAAATACTGTATGTTAGTATATTCTTTCATTTTTTTAACTGATAGAAATATTCATGTCTTCCTGAAGCATTTTTATTTTTCCAAGTCTTGCCCATCAAGTAAATGAAAGGTATATCTACCAGATCTAATTACTAAGAATTAGTTATTTTGGGAAGCTCCATTATCCCCTTTAGACTATTGTAGAAAAAATTGAGTACTCAAGCACTAACATTTTTACATGGACTCTCAGAATCTTAGAACCAACAGGGACCTTAATGATAATCTCATCAAGTTCCTTCATTTTATTTGCAAGAAAACTGATGCTAAGAGAGAAATGACGTATCTATTGTCACAGAGCAAGTTTGGGGAAGAAATAACACTAGAAAAGTGCTTTGTATACAGGCTCTATAGAGACATTAATAATAAGCATAGTGTTCTCTTCCCTAAACTAAAGCTGATTCCTCAAAGATACAAAGGGAGTTGTATAACTCACAACTTTATTTCAGTTAGCTTATTATTATTATTTGAGTTAGTTTATTAGAGAAGCTTTAAAAAGTTTCTCTTTTCAGTCTTTCATTCCCCTCCTGAAATCTTTTTTTTTTAACATGACTACCTACAGCTCCCTTTCTGTTCCTCAAGATAGTATTCTCTGCTTATGTAAGTTATCTACTCCAGCCAAGAAAATGTTCTTTCCCACTTCTTTCACCTTCTGCTCTTCTTCATCTCTACACACCCTCTTTTTCCAGCTACAGGGCTCCACAAAGCATAGAACGTAGCATACCTTCCCTGTGTGATGCTATTCATGACTGCAAAAAGATTTGATATTTCTTTCTGTGGTACTGATACCTGAGGCATTCTTAATACCATTCCTTCCCTCCCCAGTTTTCTCCAGTCCCACTGGCAATGCTAATTTATGCCCTTCTTTTCACCTTCACAATCTTTACTCACCCTCCATTATACCCTGTTGCTCTTTCAGAGTTCTTCCCAAAGCCTTTTCTTCCTTTCTCCATTCCAGTTACAGCACCTTTCCAACTGTGCTTCCTCATCACCTTTACTTGTATGTGGGAAAACAGGGAGAGCATAGTGGAAAAAGAGCCTCCTTCTCAAAGCTGGATAATTGTTTCCTGAGGTTTTTAAAAATATATTTTGCATGTTATCTTGCAAATTTAATCAAAATGGCTTTAAAATACATGGGACCCATTCCTTGTTGTTTTGAATACTTTTCACCTTTCCTACCCACCCTGGATTCTATCATCAGTGTCCCCATTCCCAACAATCTGGAGGAGGGAAAAAACTGCCTTTGTGTATTCCCCAGCCTAGATTCTGCGGAGAGTAACTATAGAGAATATAGAATAGAAGTTGAAGGCCAAAAGTCTACAGGAAACAAAATCTAAGAAAGGAAACAGTTAAAACAAGAGCACAAAATGAATATACACAAATGTCCAAATTTTAGGCAACAAGCAAGAAAAACTAATAAGAATAAGAATAAGAATAAGTAGGAGGCATACTTGTGAGAGGAAATTCAAATGCCAGTGTATAGAAGTGTGGTGGAAAGTATTTAGATGAAGATTGATGAAGGGAGAAATAAAAGCACTTCTGTCATCAGATTGTATGATAGACGGATTGCATAGAAGGAAAAAAAGAAATAGAATAGGCATCAAGCCTGGTAAAAGGCATGATATAGTAGTGATGGGGGACTTTATTCATCTAGCTATCTGCTGGAGCTTTTTTTCTGTCACAAGCAGAGCAGCTAACAACATCTTGATTTTGTCTTAATGACAACTTCATCCTTCAAATGGCAGAAGAACCAAAAAGGGAAATTCCATTTTGGATCTGATTTTCACTAACAGGGACAAACTGGTTACTGGAGTAAACATAAGCAGAACCTGGGGGAAGTGACCACTGCCTCCTATAATCTGTGATAGACAAAAGGAAATCCAAGAATCATCTGGAATGCACTCTACATTTGGGAATGAGCAGATTTCAAAAGATTCAGAGGAAGATTGGGTGTGGAGGACTGTATGAACTAAAATTTCACACCTGAAGTCAGTGTAGTAGGAATGGGAAACCCTCAAGAATGGAGTTCTGAAGACTTAAAGGGAAATAATTCCATTGAGGAGAAAAATGGGAGCAGTCTGAAGAGATTACTATGGATGCACAAGAAATTCATCAATCAATTTAGAAATAAAATGTTCAGAAGAAGAAAACAAAGGCAGATAACATAAGAGAAACGTAAGAGCACAGTATGACTCTTGAAAAATAGTATCAGGAATGCTCAATATCAGAATGATCTGAGACTGGCAGAGAAAGCTAAGGATAACAAGATCTTTTCAAATTATATTGGGGAAAAGTGGTGGATAGGACCCCTACTTGAAGTACATAGAATGATGAAAACTAATGAGAAAATTTTGACATAGTTACTTAATTCTCATTTTGTTTCTATTTTGTCTGCCAAGGAGAATGACCTTTGCACTGGAAATAGAAAAACAAAAAATGACCAACGGGGGACTGATACCCAATATAATAAGTAAGGATAGTGCAGGGCACTTAGTTGTCCTTGATTAATTCAAATTACCTGACCCAGATGAACTACCTTTTTGAGAGCCTGAAAGCTGACATAACTCGATCACTGAGTTACTGAAAGATTTTGTAGAATGAGGGCTGAGGGAAGAAAGTAACATGACTGGAAAAAAGTAAATTTCCCAACTTATGAAAAGGATAAAAGAACAAAACTTGAAAGCTAGAAACTTGATTTTATTCCTAGAAAAATTCTAATACTGATAATTAAAGAAATAGTGAGTGAATATTTAGAAAAAGAAGTAGCAATTGCAAGGAACCAGCATAATTTCAATGAGAACACATATTAGGTTAACTTTTTTTTTTCCATTTTAACAGAGGTACTAGACTTTAAGATTGGGGGAACACTATAGATATAATTTACCCGAATATTAGCAAAGCATTTGACAAAGTATCTCATTTTATTCTTATGGAAAAGATGAAGAGCTGTGGAATAGATGATAACATAATTAGATGGATTTGGAATTAGTTGAATGGCTAGACTCAAAGAATAGTCATTAATGGTTCAATATCAATATGGCAAGAGATGACCAGTGGAGGACCCTAAGGATCTGTGCTTGATCCTGTGCTATTTAACATTTTTATCAGTGATTTGGGTCAAGGCATAAGTGGTATATATGTGATATTTTCAGATTACAGATCTAGAAGGGGAAACCTAGCAGTGGATGATAAAGTTGTGATCCAAAATGATCTTGATAGACTAGAGCAATGGGGTCAAACTCAAATAGAAACAGATCTCTCTGTACTGCATATAAACTTAGAAAACCTCCAG